TATAGAGCAGATCAAAGTCACCACTCACCAGGAAAAATTTGGGATAACACCAAAGATTTTACAGGGGTGAGGGATGCAGCTGTGGAGGTTTTGGCTCCACTGGTTCTGACATCAGCACCTGCAAGGCAGTATGGCTTACAACTAGTCTTGCTTGAGTACAATCAGCATGTTCAGTCTGAGTTTTTGCCATTAAAAATTGCTCTGGTAAGGCTCACTACCCAGTGTGTTGCAGGTAGACGAGGCTGCTATCTGGATCAAGCACATTCTCACGGTTGACAACCCAAGTTGTTTACCACTGTACCAAGCAATGGCCCCTTAAAAAGTTGCTCTGATATCAAATTGGAAAACTTGGATTTTGAGGAAGAGAAATAAGACGAAAAAGCTTATCTATTAATCATATTTCTTGCTTAATCCTATTTTTTATATACAATTATAAATGTCATCATTACCCTCATTGGTGGACTTAATTCTGTAAACCATATAAATCATGACATTAGTGGGTTGTGCAGGGTCAAAGGGGAATCAATAACTCGTCTTGAAACTAACCGTTGAAATTAGGTCCCACCCTGCACAAGTTGTCTGCAGAATAATCCCAAATACAATTCTCTTTTGGTGTTTGGAATGCGTGGAATGTGTCAATTTCAGATTTCCTTGCTCTATGATTGCTAATCTGTTTGGTGTACTCGGAATAGTTATTTCTGATTGTTGAGAGATTTTTACATAGAATAAAGACTCTCCTCGTAAACCTTTGATGAACCTTATATTACCTGCATCCTAAATATCCTGATTTGCAATTTGTAAATTTATTTTTTATTACTGATTGTGATCATCGTGTGATTCCCCTTTTTTTCTTTTTCTTTTTTCTTTTTGTTTGGCTGATGTTCTTGTTTCTTTTCCTTTCAATTGAGCCCTTTCAAGAGTCTATAATTTGATAACCAACCTTTTTTTTTTTTTTTTGGTAGTTTATTTGATAACCAACCTTCAGTCAACTTGGGTGAGTATGAAACAACGCAACTAATTTAGGGGAAAAAAGAAGAAACAACACAACTAGATAATTTTTTTTTTTTTAACTGGAGGCACCCAACTAGATAATTGATCTATTTGATAAACACACTTGTGAGTTGTGATGGACTGAAACGAGGATGTCGAGGTAGATGATTGGAGTTGAATAGAAAAGATAGATTTTCTAACCTAGGTGAAGAAGATATCTGGAATAACACCTATTAGTAATGCAAAAATAGAAGACTATCTTAGGTGATATGGACAATTGGACGTATAGAATATAAACTTGGTGGTGTGCCCTTAGGAGAGGGAAGATTAGTTTGCGTAAAAGGTAAAATGTAATGAAGTAATTGAAAATGATTTCAAAAATTATATATTAGAGGAGACATGTTCTAGATTAGTATAAAATAAAAAAGAGAATTCTTGTGGCTGACCTCATTCATTTGGGAAAAAGGCAATAATGACGATGATGATGACACTTTTGTGAGTGGCTAGCCAACACTTCATTTATATCTGATAGCTATATTCTAAATATTGCCATTAATGCCTGCCCAAAACCAAAATGAAAGTTTAACTTGGGAATGGTTTGATCTTCAAGGCTGAGAGGTAAGAATTAGCTCAGTTGGTTGTGTCAGGTCTAGGCTCCAATTGTAATATTTGATTCCACAATTTAGACTTCTTGGCAAATGCTTGATGTCAACCCAACATGGAACAAGTTGTAACCTCGGGTCTAAGGCCGAGTGTCTTAGATTGAGCTGATTTGGTTACGTCAAATCTAAGCTCCAGTCAGGTTAATTTGCCTTGAGAGTCTATGCATGGCAAATGCTTGATGTATATCCAACTTGGTAGGAGTTTTATCCTCCACTTGTGGCAATGGAACCTCTTTCTATTTAAATTTTAGGCTGTTGAAGATAGAAATGTCTTGTTTAACAAGCTGGGAATGTAGCTGCTCAGTACCTGCTAGCAAAGGTAACTATTCTGGGTTATAGCTTGGGACGTGTTCCCCTTTAATACATTTTACTTATCAAAAAAAAAAGGTAACTATTCTGGGCATCCTCTAATTCCATATGTAGTCCGACGTAATGACAGCTACCTGCCTTGGCACTAGGGTGTGTCTAGGTTCCTAAGGCAATTGTCGTTGACCGGTAATACAAAACCGTGTGGTAAACAAACCTTGGATTCACTTTTCATTTACCACGCATTCATTTATTAAGTGATTGTGTTTCTGTCTTCTTTTTTTCCTTTTCCTTTCTACCATCTGTAGCTAGTTTCAGTAATATGTTCAGTTGATTTTAAGCAGATAATATTGGTGGGCGGGCTCCTCTCAGTTGTTGACAAGAGTGTTAGAAAAAGAAAGCTCGGATTTTTCATTTGGTGGTTGTAGCCCAACAAACGAAGCATGTTCCCGCAAAATCCCAATGGAAGATACTCCAGCAGCTGCTTTTATGGCCCTTTTTTTGTCTGGCCACGCATCGACTAGTGAAGCTTCACACCCAAGCTTACCTCACTATGATATGGTGAGGTGGTATAATTGGGCCGATGCAGCCCTTATGACTTCACTGAAAACATTTAATGATATGACATGCATAGGTTCAGTGTTCGTGTCATGGAAGTGTTGGAAGAGATAAGAGAGAGAATTAAAGATTGTGTTCAAGTTTCGAATGATTGTGTGAAGGTGAGAGGCGAAGGAAACTTTTGTTAACAAATACATGATACCATCAAAGGAGTCTTTTGCTATTAAGCAACAAATACAAGATACAAATTATTTTTTTTCCCCTAGTTGGGACTCACACACATTTTGTCTCTTCTGAGACTTAAACTCCCTGACCTACCTTTAGGAAGTAAGAGACTGATACCGCTAGATCACTGGCCTGTTGGTAAGATACAAAAAATTTGATATTTTCGTCGGGGACTTGAAGATAAAGAGCACTTTGAAGCAGCATTTTGATATCGACTTGGAAGCTTTGAAAGACTATTAGAAGAAAATAATTACATTGTTTAAAGAACACCACACCAATACAATTCTTGCTTTTGGTCATATTTTTTTCCTTGTATGCGATTATGTCCTCGTTCATGGCTCGATTTTGTAAACCTTGAAACTCCTTGTAAGACCAACGTTGTTTTATTTACTAGCTTGTCTAATAATTGCTGACTAGGTTTTGAACCATTAGCCTATGTCAAGTTTTCAGTTTGATGTGGTGGTTGGCTTTGTTTCTTCTTCATTACACGCGGTCGCGTGCTCACACATATATATGGATTATTGGTCAATTCTCAACAGCATCAAGAACTGTTGACGGCCAATTTGAAAGAAATGCAAATGGCCGGTGTAATTTGGTTTATTTTTTACCGCAAACCTGTGTGAGTGTAATAATTTACCCTGAACTGCAAAAAGAAAAAGAAGAAAAAAACTAAACCCAATATGTTAAAATGGTGTTGATGCATACTAATTTACTATTGAGCCCATGTAAAAATAAGAAAAATAATAGTCTCAAGCAATCATCTTTTTCCACATCATTCGTAGTTCATACATACTACACCAACCTCACCTTCATATATGAAAAGAGTTCATATATATTCTCAGTACCGATGTTAGGGCAACAACAATGAGGGTAGAATTTGATTCAAACATATTTAGCTCAAATTCAATGATTGTATCACATACCATGTACTCCTTAGTCTCTTTTCCATCTTGGCCCGGACAACCCAATAAACTTGCAGCTTGAAGAAGTATTTGGAACATACTGCAAGAATAGAACTAATTTTACTCGAGAGACGAAAATTTGCAAATGTATACTATGCCTTCGATTGTGAAGATAATTACAGCACGAATGCGATGGAAAACTTGAACAGCAATTAGCGCATAAACAGCGGCAGATCCAGGAATATACTTGAGTGGTGGAATCATTAGCAAAAAAATAAATAGTGAGGAGTTTTTTTTTTTTTTTTTTTTTAATTTTGATGCTTAAAACATAAATTGGGATCCACCGGAGTAAAACAAATGGGTTTTTTGGCATTTTGAAAATTTTATTGGACAAATGAGTTAGAAAATGATGAGGATTCGTTTTGAATCTACAGAGCTTTTGTCTTTTGTGAATTTTAAGATTTGACAAAATTTGTGCATAAAAAATATAAATAACTGAAAACTTCAGTGGGGTCAATTGTCACCCATTGGTCCAAACCTATCGACCGTGAAAGTTGATTCGGGTATGAATGTGGGTGAAATGAACTGTTATTTGGACCACCCACTTACCCACTTAAAAAGTGGTTCTTACCCGTTGAAGAATGACTAGTTTAAATGGATAAGAACATGATCATTGATAAACGGCATGCTGAATGGTCACCTGATTAGTTTTCCATCCCTTTTCCTTCAAGGGGTCAACCAACGTAAAGGGTAAGTTGCATAATTTTAGAATACTTGGAGGAGTTTTTGTGCAAAAGAGAAAGGAAAAATTCTAGGGTACTTGAGGATAATAGTAAAGCCCGGGAATCTCAAATACAGATGACAAGGTTAAGTCTGGAAAAAGACCTTCGAACCAGCACTTCCTCACATATAAACAGCAAAGGAAGAAAAGAGAAGAGTCAAGTAGAAGACCTTTGGACAAGTTTACACGCCATAACCAATGAATTCGACCTCGACCTCAACCAAACACCGAAAAATAAAAATTAAAATAAAAAAATAAATATTTTTCCTAAAAAGGAAAATGTTTTCAGAGAAAGATATTTTACGTGGAGCTAAAGTAATAATTTTTACAGTGTTATCCAGGAGTGTTTTGGGCAACCTAACCCTCATCTCCTCTTTGAGGGAAATAAGCTTAAATCCTGACAGTAATTTAGGAAGAAAATGGCCTAAATGAATTCCGGATTCTGGATTTACCTAAATGAATCCACTGTTCGTAGATAAATCCACACTCAAGTGGTTGATTACTTGGTTCTAGCTCCGAAAACCAGTGTCTACTCAAACTAGCAGATCATGTGACTAAACAGCCGCTAATTCTACGTGTGCAAATGTTCACTAGTTAAACAAAGCTCACTAGGAGGAAAACAGCTGCAAAAGAATTACATCTGCTAACTCACATTATTCATCTGCTTATACCTTAATAAATATATTTCTCTTCCATCAAAAATTTTGACAAGATGCTCTCTGGTCCAAATGGTATACTTTAGGAGCATAATTATTGAAAGAATGAAATACACGAGAACTTTTGGGCACGTTCCAATTCACAAAACTTCAAAGTGCAGGCAGTAACTCGTAGATTCATTCAGATCAACAATTGGAAGAGGTACCTTCACTCAAAAATGCAGAATGCCTCGAAATTGAGAACCAAAGCCTGTCGCTGATGAGCAAATACTGCAATATAAAATTTCAAGCTGGGGCATTTTGCTTTGTTTTCTGCTTCTTGGGATCCAATGCAGCTAAGCCTGTGCCTAGTCCGATCGGAGCCTGATCTTCTTCCCCTGTTTTTGATTGGTCTTCTTGGGCATCTCTAGGTCCGTTTGAAGGATCATTGTTAGCTTCTTTACTCGCCCCGTCAGATTCCTCATTGTTCACAGCATCCGGCATCATCCCTGAGTTCATTATGTTGAGGATCTGGTTAAGAGGTGTTAAAGCTTGAACGGGAACACCGTGCGGGCGTATTAAGAGGCCTCTTGCGGCAGCTTTCTTCCTCACCTCTGCTGCAGCACGGGCTGCTCTTTCATCAACCCCTCTGCCTCGAGGAAGTGCTTCACCAATTAATGCTGAATTAATTGATTTGTTAGCAGATGCACCAGAACTACCGGACCCTCCGGCCGAGGCAGCAGCTTGAAATGCATGAATTAGGTCAGGATGGGCCTGTCGAGCATAACTTAATTATTTCAGCTGAGAAACAAAACAATTAAATAAACCCAAAACTATATTGAGAAATTCATAAATTGTAACATATGACGTTAACTATCGAATATATATAGAATGTTTTGCAGTTACTTGAGATGACCCAGAAAGGTGTGCATCTGAAGATTGTCTTGCAACAACGGGTGGTGAAAAATAGCAATGCCAGGCCTTGGTCTTCCGGCAGGCTTTCCCACATCAAAGATGCATGGATTGCAGAAAAAAAAAAAAAAAAAAAAAAAAAAAACTATATCTATCAAAGTTGGAATATATTTTTACTAGTTTTTCCTGGTAGGACATACTAGTGCAGCTTAAAATCAGATACCATATACCTCAGCCTACTGCATTTGTGTTATCAAGCACTCAAATATAAGTTACGATATTATCAGATTAATCATTTTGGAATATCATAAGGGGCAAGCAAAGGGCCCAAGTGGGAGGGGGGTAGATGGGATTCAGAATCACCTTCAAAATATCAATAGCCTTTTGAGTGGAAGCTGCATTCAAAGCTTGACCTTTCTGCTTCTGTGCATTCATCTGACACACACAACATATAATTAAGGAAATTAATGAAATATGGGAAAGACCAAAGCAATAGGACAATTTTTAGTCAACATTCCAGTCTCCATAAGTTCATTAGTTGTCTCGCAAAGGCATGCATTTACCTGCAACTCACGCATCTTAAATGTCTTCATCCAGTTTTGGGAATCGCGTGTCCTAGAATCCTCCTCACCAAGTTGTTTGACGAGAATATCATATGTCTTTTTTTCATGCTGTCACACCAAATCTTTAGTTGGTTAATATAAAGAAGGGTATAATTTAGAGTAACTGATGATTTTAAGGGAACGTATAATTCCTGCTGAGATACATGCCTGGTGAGAGAGCTTGAAGGCACCCATACAGTTGAATGCAATGGCAAGAGCATGATAACACACGGCAGTCTGAATATGTTCCTCACCTAGAAGCCTCTCATTCTTTTTCAAGGCTTCTTGTAAATATCGAAGGGCTGTGTTCATCTTTCCAATATCTTGGTACATCATTGCAACATTTATAAAAGTTGCAGCCACATCAGGGTGATCCGGGCCAGATGATAAACTCAGTAGGAGCAACGCACGGGACATGTGCCGTAGCGCAAGTTCTGTTTGGTTAAGCCCATGGTAGAAAAGAGCCATATTACCGTAGCTACAGTAACAGATGAAGTGAACAAAAGATATCCACAGTGAGCATAGAGGCGTATAGAAATACATTTGTACATTTACTATTTAAAAAAATGAAGGAATGCAGGGAACGGATTTCTATTTTGTTCAACATGGCATTTAAAACGAGCCCAAGAGAGAGAGAATAGCACTATTTCATTTTCTTTTTATTTTTTTTTTGGAAATTTGACTATTATCTTTTCAGTTTAATAGAAAAGGTTGGATGTGGACGACCCCATTCATATGGGATTAAGGCAAGGATGATGATGATTCTTGCAATGACCATAGTTTGAAAACGGGTTTTGAGTTTTCAGAGAGTAAAAAAAATAAGAAATGGATAATCCCATTACTTCCAATTAAATTTTGGTGTCAATACATAGTCAAAGAAATAAGACCTGTGAGCAGTATCAGGGTGATCAAGACCAAGGCAGCGTTCATTAATGATGAGCTCCTTATGCTGTTGCATTATGGCTCCAGCCATGTCTCCAGCATGATATAGAACCATGGCAAGGTAACTGGAAAGAAAAAAAAAAAAAAAAAAAAGGGCAATCAGTTTGAATGAGCATTTGAAGCTAAAAACTTATTCACAAGCACATAAGAAATATGGTGCTATTAATTTAAGAACCATTATTTCCAGCTGGAAGATATAAACACAAATATAAGAACATCAAAAATCAATCTCCAAATTTCATTTCTCCCAGCAATCCGTATATATACAACTATTAAAAGTGTATAGATCTTTTATTTTTTATATACATTTCAATTATTAATAATCAAATAATATTATGTTTTTAAGCATTTAATACCCTCTCTCTAAAAGCACCATTAACAAATTCTCAAAATGCACAACTATTGCCCATTTGCCTTTCACCCATTCATCTCCTCATTGTTTCTTCATCTTCCTCTACATCGCTCTCTACACTTTGTAGATAATTGGGAGAGTGGGGAGAAACATGTACAAGATGCAGTGGTGTGCCGCCAAAACAATTGGGAATTACCCAAGTACATAGTGGGGGAGTACTTGGGGATTGCCCAAGTACTCATCTCATTGTGTCTTCATCTTCCTCGGCATCATTTTCTTTGTACACTGTAGATTATTGGGAGATTGGGGAGAAACACGTACAAGCTGGCAGAGGTGTGCCAACAGAACAAGTGAGGATTACCCAAGTACTCATGCAAGAAAGAAAGACCAGACAACAACTCAAAATTCGTCACTTCAGTCTCTATCAACGGAAGGACCATTGACACACACCTCCCTTCATCTCCTCATTGTTTCTTCGTCTACCTCTGCATTGTTCTCTCTGTGTAGATTATTGGGAGAGGGGACAAAAATGTACAAGCTGTAAGAGGTGTGCCACCAAAACAAGTGGAGATTACCCAAGTACTCGTGTCATTATTTCTTCATCTCTCTCTCCACACTGTAGATTATTGGGAGGGGAGAAACATGTACAAGCTGCAAGAGGGGTGCCGCCAAAACAAGTGGAGATTACCCAAGCACTCATGTCATTGTTTCTTCGTCTTCCTCTCATTCTCTCTCTAAACTTGGTGGATTATGGGTAGAGAGTGGAGAAACATGTAGGTGTGTCACCAAAACTAGTGAAGATTACCAAAGTCTTTTGCATGAAATAAGATCAGACCACAACAAGTAGAGATTACCCACATAATCGTGTCATTGTTTCTTCATCTTCCACTTGTCCTCTCTCTACACTTCGTAGATTATTGGGAGAGTGGGGAGAAACATGTACAAGCCGCGAGAGGTGTAATCCAAGTACTAGTACATGAAAGAAGGATCAGACCACAACTCAGAATTCGCCGCTTCAGTATCGATCAATGGAAGGACCTTTGACACACCCACTATTCTGTAAATCCTCAAAGAGGCCCAGAATCAAGTAACTACTATTAAAAGCATATATATATATACACACCCGGAGAGTATTATATACAATCTAGGGTAAATTGCACTGACAACACCCCCCCCCCCCCCCCCCCCGGCGGCGGGGGGGGGGTGGGTGGGGGCGCGGCCCGAGGTTTGGGTTAAAGACGGCCATCTACAACTAAGGCACTTTTTGGACAATGACACCCCATTTCGCAAATGAGATCCAACTATACAGCTATTAAAAGAGCGTATATATATTTTTAATTAAATATATACATTTTTTCAGTTCTATTAATCAAATAATATTCTGATTTTAAGCATTTGATAAGCTCTCTCTTTCTCTAAAAGCACTATCAATGACTTCCCAGAATTCATAAATATTGCTCATTTTCATTCTACCCCTATATCTTCCTCTGCAACTTTCTCTCTTTACATTCTGTAGATGATTGGGAGAGTTGGGAGAAACATGTATAAGTCGAAAGTGAAAGAGTGGGGTGGAATGCAAATAGGAAATGGTTATGATTTCTGAGAAGTCGTTAATAGCGGTTTTAGAGCGAGGGTACCAAATGCTAAAAAACAATATTATTCTATAATTAAAATTCTGAAAAACGTAAATAAAAAATAAAAATCTATACACTTCTAATGACAGTATAAATTGTAAATATTCTCTCAATGCATATAGGTACATGTCATACATATATATATATATATATATATATATATATATATATATATATATTTATATATATAGTTGTATATAGATAGATTCTATATATTTATTTTTTCCCAATTAGATTGTACATATTCTCTCTCTATGTATATAGATACATGTATATCATATATATTTATATGGATATCAGAAGTGAAGTAGAGGAAGGAAAGCTTAGATGCTTCGTTCTGCACGTCTTTGGGTGTGTCAAAACTCCATCCATTGATGGACATTGAAGCAACGAATTCTGGTTTGTGGTTTGGTACTTCTTTCATGCACAAGTACTTTTGTAAGCCCCACATGTTTTGGTGGCACACATATTGTAGCTTGGACTTGTACATGTTTCTTCCCAATCCCAACAATCCGCGGAGTGGGGCAGGGCAATACACGTTCGTTGACATGCTGTTTGTGCAAATTATGACTAAAAAAGTAACAACTAGTTCATGGGGTGGGAGTGGAAGACCAGTAGTATTTGCCAATGGGTCAGCATGTTTTTAACAATAAAATAATACAAGTACTACTTCCTAAATTCTAATTAATTTGAACACTAATAACAAAAAATATCTTACTTTTAAATAGTCTTATATTTTTTTATAACAAAAAAATTAGTATTTAATAAAAAAAATGATCAAATGAAATAAGTAGTACAAACGCTCTAATAGCGCTCCTGCTCTCAAAATTTTCTAGAACTTGACAATCTCACGCTTTTGCTCCTGCTTTATGTGACTTGGCTTTTGACAAGAACAAAAGAAAATTGTAGTAAAGGAACTAAAGAAGGTAAAAAAAAAAAAAAAGGTTAATAGTTAACAGTATGGGTAGTTATGGTACTATAAAATAAGAGATGATGTATTAATGGTTTAAGGGCCTTCTTGTCATTTCCTTTAGAAGAAAATGCAAGCGGAGTGCAAGTGTAGAAAAGGGGAGTGCAAATATCGCCTCCCTATATGTATATGAATATAGATAGCAAAAGTGAAGTGGAGGAACAGAAATCATAACCATTGCTCAGTTGAATTCTACCCCATCATCATCTCACTATTTCTCCATCTTCCTCTGCAACTTTTTATCTCTACATTATACAGCTTGTTGGGGAGGGGAGAGACATGTATGAGTCGAAGTTGCAAGAGGCGTGTCACCAAAACAAGTGGGGATTACCCAAGTACTCAGTCTATGAAAGGACCAGATCATAACCCAGAATTTTATGAATTCAGTGTCCGTCAATGGAAGGACTTTTGACACACCCACTAATGTAAATCCTCCAAAGACGCCCAAAACGAAGTAGCTAAGCTCGCCTTCCTCCACTTCACTTTTGGTATATTTCTTTGTATATATAAACATACACAATGTCAAGACCCAAATCCATAAGTTCGGGTCCGTGACAATGAAAGGAAGTGAACTGGACTCTTACTCAAGACTAAACGCAAAATGACTTGTCAGATGTCTAAAGGCCACAGAAATGCACCCAAATGACACGTTTTAGTATCCAAGATCACAAGCATTGAATGATCACATAATTGTCCCAAAACCTGCCTTGAATCATCCCATTTAGATCATTTGTAGCATGAATTACAACATATTAGTAAAATTACAAGTAATCAGGATGACAATATCCAACACTAGCATGCTTATACAAAGTAAAACACTCAATCATTTGCATTGACGGAATTCATTAGTTAGACACCCCTATCTCAACTATGGAGCAAAACTCTAATTTCCCCAAAGATGATTGTGCACCAAAATGAAATCCAAGACCAAAGGAAGAAAGCCTTGATGCGATCTACAATTTCTTTAACTAAAGCTTGACCAATATTCAAGTGCAAAAGTCTAAATCATGTAACAAGAGAAGAAATGGGGACAGGGAGGAGGGTGTGGCCGGCTGCAACAAGAGGAAGAAAATGGTCTTCCTCAGTCCCCCCTCTTATATACTCACGTGGTTAGTGGAGGAAGGGTCCCACCACTTTGACTATAAAATTGACATCCATGCCCCCATTTCTTCCGACACATGTACATAACTAAAGGTTACACAATTAAAACTAATGTCCAAAATACAACATAAAAGAAAATAGGTAATGTCGGGTAAATTCCCAAACACAACAACCAACCCTTGGCCCACACGGGGACCTCTTGGGCCCACAAATCCGAAACGAATAAGATGACACTAAATACACCTCTAAGAGTCTGTAACTTGAAGAAATGCCCAAAATAAATCCAAGAACCATCGTGGAACGTATACCCACACATAGAACATGCAATGGATACAAAAAGAGAAATGCGATAAAAAGAAAAATAACACTCGGTCACCAAAACCTCCCCAACTTATAGGGTTTTTGTCCCCAAAATCAAACCATTCCTAAAGTTGAGAACAAATCCGGATACTTGGAACGGTCCCGTTCCCAAGCGGCCTCCTCCACTACGTGGTTTCTCCACAATCTTTGACTAACGGGATAGTCCTACCTCTCAACACCTGCTCTATAGTGTCAAAAATCTGTATCGGCCTCTCCTCATACGTAGCATCCTCGACAACCTCAATATCCACCTAACTCAAGACATGTGATGGATCCAACTCATACTTCCTCAACATAGAAACATGGAACACATTGTGAACCTTCTCTAACTGTGGTGGCAAGGCCAAACGAAAAACCACCTTACTGACGCACTTCAATATCTCGAATGGCCCAATGAATCTAGGCGACAACTTGCAACTCCGCCCAAACACATCAATCCCTTGTGTGGGGCGACCTTGAGAAACACATGGTCTCCCACCTCAAAGGATAAAGGTCGTCTCCTCCTGTTGGCATAATTGTTCTGTCTACTCTGAGCCGTAATCAACCGCTATCGCATAAACCTAATCTTTTCTGTGGTCTCCTCTTTGTTGGACCGAGGTAGGTGCCCGTGAGGGTCCGGTTTTGGTTTCTATGTTCGGGAATTATCCCGACATCACCTATTTTCTTTTATGTTATATTGTGGACATTTAGTTTTAATTGTGTAATCTTTCATTATGTACATTTACACGTGTCGGAAGAAATGGGGGCATGGATGTCATTTTTACAGATAGTAGTGGGCCCTTCCTCCACTAACCATGTGAGTATATATGAAATGGAGAGGGGGCTAAGGAAGACCATTTTCTTCCTCTTGTTGCAACCGGCCACACCCCCCTTCCTTTCCCCATTTTCTTCTCTTCTTGTTACATTATTTAGACTCCATTATCATCTCCTTGCACTTAGATTTTGGTTAAGCTTCAGTTGAAGAATTGTAGATCACACCAAGAGATTTCTTCCTTTGGTCTTGGATTTCATTTTGGTGCACAATCATCTTTGGAGGAATTAGGGTTGTTCTCCATAATTGAGGTAGGGGTGTCTAACTAATGAATTCATTGGTCTATGCAAGTGATTGGACGTTTTACTTTGTATAAGCATACTAGTATAGGAAATTGTCGTCTTAATTACTTGTAATGTTTCTAGTATCTTGTAATTCATGCTGCAAAATATAAATGTGATGATTCTAGGCAGATTTTGGGACAATTATGCGATCATACTTGGGCCCATTTGGATGCTTGTGATCTTGGATGCTAAAATAGGTCATTTGGGTGAATTTCTGGGACCTTCGAAAAACAAGTCATTTTGTGTTTTGGTTCAAAGGCCGAAAACAAAGACGAACCCCAAGGACCCAAAAAAAACCCAAAAAATAAACTAATTCCTCTATAGATTCACAATTTCTCCCCATACCCCAGCAAGAAGGAGAGCTAACAATAAAAGATTTCACAGCCCCAACAGAACATTCCTCTCTTACAAAGGATCTTCTATCCGCTCCTTCCATAAACACTACCAAATGCATAAGGGCACCACCCTCCGAAAGTCACGAGTGTGGGAGCCCACACAACACCCTCACCGAGCATCAATCAAGCCTCTCGAAGACAAAGGCACGACACACTGAACACCAAACAATCCAAGAAGAAGACCCTAACAATCGTGAGCCACGGGACAATGCAAAAGGGAGATGGTCAACTAACTCTCCATCCCTCTTACACACGCAGTCTAGACCAAAAAGGCCACCTTGAGAGGGCCTTGGCACCATAAACCACCATCCCTGGGAAGACAATCTCGGGAAAGTTTGAGAGGCATCTAAACAAAACAACGCACATCAAATCTCCCCTGAGAGAGTGTGTCCAAATGACAGAATCCAGGCCATCACCATCAAACACCTGACAATACAACCGCTCCAAAAAAACCAACAAAGTTGTCCACTTCCCAGTCTTGGAAAAATCTCGAGAAACACGCATCCCAATTTAGCATCCCGCTATCAAGCCAATAATAGTCAGAAACCAAGGCATGTCTATCTTCTTCAATGCTGGTTATATATCCTAAACTACCTTTTTTCTTTTCCAATTCCACATAAAATAATAAAATAAAACTCAACATATAACTCTAAGAATTCACTTTCTAAGATTTTCGTTATTTTACTTTTTTTCAATATTTTTACTGATTTTGCCTCTTACTTTCATATAGTTATTAAGCATAGGCAAAAGAACTACTAAATATTGAGTATATCATTTTATATTGGAATTTTAAGGCTCTACGTGAATAGGATCAAATCTTATTCGATGGTACATGAGGTTCCTCTTTCTTATTCTTAAGCAAGTCCCCAAGAGGACTTAGTTGATCCGTGATTTATTTTTCATCTTTCGTTTCCTTTTCATTTTTTTCAAGAAATATATCGATCAATTCTAATTCTTTTTCTCTTGATTCTTTTCTGATTGAAATGTATGGATCCATGGATGCATGTCAGTATGTGTCTATATAGATCCTGTTCATGGATTGACAAAAATGTGCAAAAGCTCTATTTGTATATTACTTGTGTTGGAAAAGAATCTAGCAGCGGAAGTTTAAAAATCATTTCCCATTAGTTATTGCAAATCAATCCTAGGAAGAACTAGAATTCAATAACTTTGGGCAACTTGTAGTTTTCCAATAGAGGTGAATTCTTCGATTGAAAAACTTTTTAAGTTCTTCTTACCTAAAAAGCAAAATAAGTGGAGCAGCTTTAACATTTTGTTGACACCACTCACATCATCCAAACATTACGATTTTCGGATATGTTGTAGAAAATTGGGTTAGCTATCGAACCCAATAAAATTTTTAACCAGCTATCCAACCCCTTTTTTTTTATCCAACCCAATTTGAATCACTCAACACTCCAAATATTCTATGAGATATGCCCAAAATAGTCAAACACGTTCAGAGTTGTGCTGACACCAGAAAAATGCAACTTTAAATCCAAATTGGAAAGCCTTGCTGAACTCCAAAAATTTTGGGCTTCGGATATGTCATAGCCCCGAAATTAGTTTCCCAACGCCACTGATTTCAGGTCAATCCAACTAGTAACGATGGAGAGATATTTAAAACAGTGAATGCAGGTCCGGAAAAATCTGGGCTGTGAATTTTCAACTTTCAACCTCCTTTGAAGCTTCCTTCAATTGTTGATCATGACAATTATAAACCACCAAATCTTCACTCCTACAACCTCGATGATAACCACAAACTATGAAAGAGTGAACTCCAAAAGAGTGTAGGAAACCCTAGTTTGAGAGAGAAGATGAGACGCTTAAAATAACTTGGGGATGTCTGCCTAACCCTAGGGGAAAGCCTAGGATGGCCACCCCTTCTCTCTCTCTCCCCTAATTTCCTTCCAACTCTATTACTTGCTTATAAAGTTGGGCTAGGAGAAGGATATGTTGGCCCTATTCACACTTGGCTTCCAATGGGCCCTATTAAAGGACTGATCAAACCTATTGATTACCCTTCTATGCGAAATTAGGATATTGGATCACATATAGCCATCAATCCAATCATTAATTTATTCTTTATTATGACTGCTATATCAATTCTGTTTGATCACTTAAAAAGTTTCTTTTCTCAAATATAATATATTTAATAAATAAATATATAATAAAAATCTTTTTCATCAAAAACTACCAGCACTGGATTTCAGTGATTGAAGTTAATCAAGCCAAAATAAATAACTAGTTTAAGACTTGCATAGATGACATCTTGAAAGCATATGTTCCAGAGTCATTCAAGTAATGATTTCCCAAAATACCCATATGTTAGGCCCAAGGACCCATTGAAGTAAATCAAAGCAAAGATACATTACTTTCTCGGGGTTACGTAACTTGCTAGAACACTTGATAAAGAGAAATTACTACGACAGCCTTCGTATTTTCTACAACTTATTTTGATCCGTTAAGTACTCACCATGTACAAGTCCTATTTATAATGACTAGAAACCTACATATTACACTGTTACAGAATAGAGTGACCAACTCTTTCTAGGGTGCGAGCATATTTAAGACGTAATATCTATGATTTATATCCCCTAAGCATATCTCCTATTACAGCATGCATATAAATCATATTACATAATCAATGGGTAACTTGACTCAACTCTCGAGTCAACCAATAAAAGGCATTCACCATAATTCAGATTTATTAATAACGAATGTCAAATATATTCAAATATTGGCTCTGAAGGGCACATAATCCCAACAACTTGTTTGGAATTTACCACAAATTTATAGACGTGCATTGCGGGTGCACGTTAACTAGTATAGCTTAAAAGTTAAACCAACATCCTTGCACCAACTAATGAAAATAATTTATTTTTACCTCATTTCAGTAAATTATTCTTCCCTATAATATGTTACAATCATACGCTGCCTCTCAAAAATGTCCTTTAATACTGTTTTTTAAATAATTAAAAAAAAAAAAAGGAAAAAGAAAAGAAATGCATTTGTTTATATTGTGAATAGTGTTTCATTCAAAAAGAGATTAGAAATAAAGTACAAGAAATATAGTTAACTACAGCATTAAGCTGAAGCACCAGTATGCTTATTTTATCAGATTTAGAAAGAGATTTAATATTGAAATGTTATGAAAATTGGAGCTAATGATGATTACCGGCAGCAGTTAGCAACCTCCCGATGCATTGGACCAGTCACCTGTGATCCACCATAAACCAATCATTGGAGTTTCATAACAACGAAAAGTAACAAAGAAAATTCAGAAGGAACGGAAAATATACCTGCTGAAGTATTGTAAATGCCTCAAAAAACAATGTGTAGGCTTCACTAAGCATTCCCTGAGACAAGTGACAAAAGAATTAATAACAACATTCCAGCTAGAGTATTCAACAGCAAAATTGGTGCAGCCACCACTACAAAAAATATATATCTACATATATCTTAATGCTTCAAATTAAATTTAAAGCATATGTAGTTCTTTCCATTCAATCTATCTTACTGCATATCCCAGGCAATGCAATGAGTTCTTTATTATTTTAACTAGTTTTAGATACATGATATGTCCATTGTTGATCAAGCACTGCTTCGCCTCCACATTAATTCAACCTTGAGTTAGAGTTACTACTTGTTCAGAAAAACACTAAATATTATTGCATTCGATTACTTATTGAATCCTGATATTTAGCCCTATGGTGGAAACAATTTATGGTTTGTAATTGGTTCACAATAACATAAAACAATAGTGCATACCTCAGCCAACTGGACCTTTCCTGTTTCCACGAGATCCTTAGCTTCGGAACATACTGGAATAGAATGCTTCACGATAGGTTGGAGATTCAAAATATCTGATATTTGGAAAGGTGCTGCAGCATCAAGATCATATTTGCGAGCTGCAATGGTTACACCTACCTGTTGAGCACCAAATTCAAGCATTGATTATTTCACTGGAGACCAAAAGATGAGTAATCTATCAACCCCTCATAAAATATAACTGAAAGCTACAAGTGAACACTCCGTATTATAGAGACATAATTTAACCCACGTCCATCTAAAAGCTTAAACTTGGAAGTTTTACATGGCTACTAATAAGACTTCTTATGTCTTTAGCAAATATTAAGCAATCCATGCATAGTAGAAATTACAACTTTTTAGTTGGTTCTAGTCCATAAGTCGTAGTATTTGTCATAAAACCCTTATTACAGAGGCACAATAAAAGTAATCAATAAATAATGGTTGCTGGCTCATTTTTTAAAAATATTACTCAAAGTAGGGCCACATATTAATTTATATTAATTGTTTAAATAATTGCTTCACTCAGAAATGAAGAGCACAAACGATTTATTTATTTATTTTTCTTTCCAGAGAGAAATGGAATTACTTTTTATTTTTTTAAGACGGAATTTTTTGCACTATAGTAAAATGAATCGAAGTGTAAATTTAACATTTAGTAAATTTACAAAATACTCTATGATAACCAATCTCTATGGAAGCCCATAATAGACTGATCAGGCAGGAGCACACAAAAGCCACCATGTAAATAATCCAGCGCATCACATTCTGAAGCCTCAATAAGTTACCTAAAAATTTATTTTGTTTCCTTCATTCTAAAATGACAACAAATAGGCAAACACCAGTTTCCATAAAGCACCCCAAAACAGGCTTCACTTACTGCCTTTGCCGGCTCAATGGGTGTCCCCCTAGACTTTCTTCATTTTCATTGTAGTTGATAAATGTACAAGCATACTCATGGATTCTGAACAGAAGCTCAAGCATATGCCACACATCCGACAACAAAATAAATTCCAAATCAAAAAGTATGAGAATACTAGCTCATTTGTCTTGCAAAACCAAACGCAGGAAAATGAAGGGGATGTACTCATTTGGATAATAGAAGCATAAGCAATCCATTTCGAGCAGAGGATTCTAACAATTAGCTCAGAATTTCTTTGAGGTAACAGCACATTCAATCATTTGTATACAGAAATATATAGCTTCATTTGAGAAAAAGCTGAAAAATAAGTGGCTGGAAGCAGGTATGCATTAAATTTGCAAATCCTGTTTCAAAGGCTGATAAAAGCCCTTTAAAGAACCATGCAGATGTAAGTTACTGCATGCAATTTGTGCCTTTACATTCCTTTCCAAATTTACCATTTATTATAGCTTTCTAGCATGTGCTCAACCAACAAATGTTAATAGGTAAGCCATTCCACATCAAGCAGATAATAGCACAAGAATACATTATTATATTCCAAAAGCTGTAGGAAGCATTATTTTGAGGCATTAATGACTGCCAGTAAATAATAGTTTGAACGAGGCACTGAAAGAACATGATATGCTACACTAAACGAAAATATAAACACAAAAAACAAATAAATAAAATAAAAAAGATGCAAACTGTATCCAGGCTGAAATCCAAATTCTACACAATGGCAAAATGGGAACAAAACCAATTAGGAAAAATATGAAATGTAAATTACCTTTTGGCAAAGGTTGCGTATAACCGAAAATTTCTTTACTCGAGATTTTGCATCCTCTGGCAACTCAAACTGGAGAAGAGAAAATGTTCTCAAGCATAAACTAATGCATAAAGTTTGATGTTGCAGTGACCCCAATGATTCAATTGAAGTTTTATGATACCTGGTATTTAAGTTTTGCAAATTCTAAAATGTCAAACCACAAACTATCAGAGGTAGAACTCATATATGATGAATGTTTCTTTCTTGCAGTTCCTCCATTTTTCCACTTTGCCTGCCCCCTAGAAGACTTGCTTGAAGCTTGATGATCCGCTTGATCCTGTAGAATTTGCACACAGGTGTTAATCCTCAAGATTGCTAGCCAGTCAGAAAAACATTTGCAATTTGCTCCCTGTCTCTTCATAATCGTAGTAGATCTACACTACCATATTCAATTATTATTATTATTATTATTATTTTATTTCCGAAGTATCTACTATTATATTCAGTTCTTTTAGTAGATCTACTAATATTTCAATTTTTAAGTTTTTTTTTTTAATTCTAAAAACCCTTAAATCTGAACTTGATGGATCTCTTTGTATCTGTATAAGTGTGTGTAGTACATGCACAGAAAGGATCATGTGAATGATATTAAGGAGCCACACGGACTAAGGACTTGCAGATGTGGTCTGAATATTAAAAACCGGCATATATAAACCAGGAAGAACTTATGAGAGCATTGCTCTATAATTTTTACCTTCTTATGGGTTTTGGAGTGCATACTGTTAGCGGTACCTTTTACAGAAACAACTTGACAGTTTCCGAAAAAACAGTTGAAGAAATGTGAAATTGCAGGTCCAATATCATGATCCTCGGAGTCTCTCAAGACATCCTGCATAAACAGAGGAATTGATGGTTAACACCAGCCACTTACTCTACAATAAAATTATAACCTATAACAATTGTTCATGACCTCTAGCTGTCAATCCATCACCAGCATATGTTAATGCATCACTCAGGAAGGTAGGATTATAATTTAACCTTTCACAAAAAACAAAAACAAAAAAAACAAAAAACAAAAAACAAAAAAACAAAAAAAAACAAAAAACAAAACAAAAACAAAAACAAAAAATATATATATATATTTATTGGGTCACTATAATTTGTATTACAGCTACCAGATCCAGGAAGGTAGCATATATAAAGTAATAAAAAAGAGGGTAGCTTACATAGGTGGATAAGATTTCATGCACAGATGATAACACCAACTCAAAGCCGCATCAATTAGACAACGATAGATAGAGTACATAAGAATGGCAAACAATGAATGCATGGAAAATGTCTCCACTTTCCTCTGGGTTTGATATACATTCAAAAACATTAAGATAAGCATACCCAAACACTTGCTCAACTGAGAATCAAGTCAAGCACGTTGAATGGTTTTACTTAACAAGGATCGATGAATTCAACCAAAACCAGATCATCAACATATACGGGTTACTAGAGGTTGGCCAGTTAACTAATGAAACCCAAGCTCATTTATTGCAGGTGGGTTCATGATCCCAGATCAGATTTTGGCACCACCAAATATCAAAATTGGCAGCAACTTCATATATAAAGTTAAGGAACTTTTAAGTGGCTCGCACAATTACTACAAACTCAGAAAAGTTTTTGAACGACTGACACAGTCCCATCTCCAATAAAAAAATTCTGATTCGAATAGAACATTAAGTCCTATACATTCGTATCAACTTTACACTAAAGTGCAGAATGATTATTAACAGAATACATTAAGGCGTCATAATTCATCTTCCACAACACGGCGACAATATCATAATCAACAGCAGCAAGGCATTTCAAAAAAATATATTGCCAATAAGCCAAAAGAAAGAAACTGGGAATTGTAAATTGTAATTTTACAACTGCCACTCCAACCCCAAGAGCTACTCACTATCATAAGATCATATCTAGAATCTATATATATATAACTAGTAGCCTTCACCACTCCCAATCCGAAGGGAGAAAGGAAAAATATCTTTCTCCAAGATGAAATGGACAAGCCAAGTGAGTCAACCAGCATCACTACCAGAGAAGAAGAGAAGGTTGCTCGACCTATTATGAGATTCCAAGTTTGGATCTATAATCCTGTGTTTCCTGGGTAACCATGCATAACAAGAACTTCCAAAACTAACTTGTAATGACAGGAGATGCTGAAGCAACAAAACAAATGCCGATCACCTTTAGAATGTGCTTTGCAGACCTGACAGCAATTTCATTAGAACAAAGATCCCATAAATGAGGTAAGTGCTTGGTTCCATCAGCCACCTGAACAAGGAATTCGAAAGTATCAAAAGGGGAATATTCATAGAAAGAGAAAACTAGAGTAAGACTTGCAACTCACGCGGCACACATTTAGGCTTTCAATTCAAGCTATAGAAAACGCCTAATCAACAATACATATCTATTGTCCCAAATTTACAAAGCCTATTATAAAAGGACCGAATGAAAACTAATTTAGCAGATGCTTACTTTTCCAATATAGCGAACATTGATTCCATGAGCATGGAGTGCTTCAGTTAACGTCTGGCCATCCATGGGTGAAACCTCAAGTGTGCAAAGGTCTTGTATAAATTTTGTAAGGACAACATCTCTGAGATAAAAACTTGCTTTCCTCACATTTTCTTCATCTGCAGCTATCTCCTGGTCATTTGCGAGGGAAAGAAGATACGTAAAAATTGAATCTGTATTAATATGACCAGAAACAAAACAGTGAATCACAAAGTTACGGAAATTACATCTCGACTTCCAGCTAATTTAAACTCTGTAAAGACATTAGGATTAAAAAATATTTCCTCGCACAATTCTTCATTGCCAGAAGGTGCAGAACCAAATTCTTGAACAGCCTCATTTTTACCATCGTCTGTCATATCCTGTGAAATACAATACTTGGAAATACATAACCTAAATCGGAAGCAGAACAAAGCACAAGCATATATTCAAAATATATATTTTATGTACTGGGATTTAAAGGATTAACATGTTGTTGCTCTCTGCTTTTAATATGACGAAAGCAAGAAAAACACACACACACACACACTTGGAAACCATTATTTTCCTATTTAATGAGAAACTTGCATGTTCAGAATCTACAAAAGAAATGAACTAGTTTAGTCATGCTTCCCTAATATTTCCTAAAAAATTCAGTAAATGCTGCCACAACTTTCAATGTTCTCCCATGTTTCTTTAACATCTAATGACGGCCACAGGGCTGTAACCCATTTTGAGAATTAGAACAAGAATTAAAGTTTTGAAGGTTTACCACCGACCCTTTACCTCAAGTGGTATCTCCTCTTCCTTCCAAATGGAAGGTTGAGGGTTCAAGTCTCCTTATGTGCTACAGTGTACATGGCCATGTGAGTTGATTTTTTGTGTTTTTTCATTCCCAATACTAGACAAGGAAATACTATACCACAAGCTCTCATGACATATATTTCAAGCATAGAGACTACTAAACGGCACCCCAAGAAAAGATGATAATCACCTTACAAATCACTTGTTAAAAACCTAGCGAAACATATTATGTTTGGTTCAGATTGATTGAATTCCATATAAATCAATTGTTCAAAACTCAGCTTAACATGATTGAGTTTGGTTCAGACTTCAGATTGATTGCATTCCATACACAATATAAAAATTAAAAATTGAAATAAGCATGTTCAATCACACTTTTGAAAGTCAACATTAATCACTAAAATTTTATTGAGGTATATTCAATTTCTATGGCGAAAGGAAAATCCAAATGATCAGGACCAATCATTTTGACAAGTCATACATGGCCAATTTAAGTTGGAATTCCAATACTTAAGGAATGGCAAAATAAAAAATAATATAATAAAATAGTAGTCCAAGATAGATAGAGAGTATTGTGTTAGAAAAATGGCATTGTTATTAGGGTAAAATGCAAAAAATAAAAATAAAAAATAAAATAAAATAAAAAACCCTGAACTATTGGTCAATTAGCAATAAACCTGCTAAACTATAAAAGTTGCAAAAAAAATGGCATTGTTATTATCCATTTTTGTTGCAGATCACCCCATCCGGCGATACGACGGTTGAATCTTACTGGAAAAAATATCATGTGACAGACAACTTAAAATTAAAGACTATAGTGCCCTTATGAGTATGAAATGACAATAATACCCCTTTTGTGACTAGACCCAAACCCAAACGTATCTGAAATACAACCAAACACCTACACCCAAACACCACCTATCATCCACCATGTATATGGTGTAGCGAATATATATATATATATATATATATAAGTTAAAAACCCTGTTCACCTTCTTCCTGAAAAAAAAAATTTCTTGTTCACCATACCAATCTGAACTCTCTCTCTCTCCTCTCCTCTCTCCCTTCTTATGTGTGTGTGTGTGTGTGTGTATATATGTGTGTGTGTGTGTGTGTAGTTTGTGTAATTCTTCAATTACACATTGTTGGGACAATCGGATTTGCAGAGGATGCCTTCACCGGATAAGAAACAATTGCAGATGACGGCATCGGATTCAACAATAAACTGCAACTTTACTAGACCAATTGGGTTTTGTGGTTCAATTGCGACTTTACTGAACAATAAATTTTTGTGGTTCAATTGGGTTTTTTGGTTTTATTGGGTTTGACAACGTGTGGTTTAGCATGAATTATTCGAGTTTATATTGCTTTGGGTCTGGTTGTGGGGTGGTGGCAGTGGGTTTGTGAGGGTGAGGGTGTAAAGTATCCTACAACTTTTCATCTATCTCCGGCGAATCAAACCCAACCTCAATACACGTTTTCACTCATCCAGATCATTAGTGACGCTCTTCCTCCGCCTGCTCCAACAGCCATAATTGCCCTTCGCTTCAGCCACACCTCGTCGCGGTACATATTCGGCGACCAACAGATCTGATCGTTGTACGCTTTCTCTCTCAAAACTCTCACTCTCTCTCTCTCTCTATATTATACATACATATATGTATCTATGTATATTAGTCATAGTACATCTCCGGCGACCCTCAGCCACCCCTCGTTGCCTCATCGTGGTAGTCTTTGGCGACCAAGAATTCTCCTTTCTATAGTAAGGTGTATACTGTGTGTATATATATATATATATGTATACTGGTGACGTAAGGTATATATTCACTTTATTTTGATAATTTTTACTTTATTTTATTAAGGGCTCTTTTGTAATTTCATCTCACTTTATTCCATGTGTTGTCACACTCTCATTGGTTGCTCAAATTTTACTAGCCACGTTAGCAACTTAAAGAGGGTAGAGTTTAAAACTACATCGTTTTATAGTAAGGGTCAAATGGTCTTTTGCCTTTTCCGGTGACCTGATGGGGCAAATTGCAACAAAATCATAGTTCAAGGAGATTTCTTGCAAAACCCCAATAGTTCAGGGGGATTTTTTGCATTTTACCGTTCTTATTATTATGAGCTAATGTAGATTGTAGAAATGGAACTAAGCATAGAAAATTTCTCCATTAAAAACAAGGATAGCAACTTTCATCTCTACTATAGGTGGGTGGTGAAAGATGCATAATAGAACAGGTACGGTGAGGTATTCAATGCGATGGGAACAGGTACGGTGAGGTATTCAATGCGATGGGAACGGTTTCAGGCAAATGGAAATTGGATTGGACTCAGGTTTTCTAATTAGGTGCACCACCCCCACCCCTGGTGTTCAAAAAGTTCCCTACATTTTCCAAATAAGGGCAATTCTTCAATTTGAAGACACAATTACCTAAAATGCCCTTAAGACAAAATTAAAATAAAAAACATTGATTTCAAATTTTTTGGGATTTTTATTATTTAAAAAATGGGAATTGTAGTTTTGGAGTTTTTACAAAAAAAATAGGATTTTTGGAGTTTTTATAATAAAAAATAAAACTTGAAGGTTGAAATACCTAAAATGCCCTTAAGGGTATTTTGGGGTTTTATAAAAAAAATAAAAAAAAATATCGGTCAAAATTGATGACGAGGGGCAATTTGCTACAAATTTTCAATTATAGGGATCTATATGCATATACTAAGTAGCAGGGCCGTTTTTTGCACGTTTCTTATACAACAGGGGTTTTTTTGCATTTTGCCCCGTAATTTATTAGGGTTTCTGAGTCTCCTTCACTCCCACCAACAAAACAACTGTCCTCTCCTCCACAACAATGTGATCAAAGACCAAAAGTTCTACTTTCTCCATTCTACCTCTTCTCCATCTCTACAACTCTTGGCCTCACTCACTGGCATCTCTGCATCTCTATTAGATCAATTTCTTTTATATCTGACATCATGCCCTACTAAAAACAGAGAGAACTTTAGTTTCTCTTCAATAATCAACTTGGTATTGCATGTAATTATTTTAATAAAGTTCCTCTCTCTCACAGTCCGTTCAGTTTGATAATATGTGGCGTTCATTGACTGTGTTGTGTGGTAGTCCACATGTGTTGGGATTTTTTGTTCTATAACATTTAAGATCTGTCATTGATTTTTATCTTTTTCAGTTTTGGTCATTACATTGTTTAAGGATCTGCTTGGATTTACACATGTCAGGACAGGACGGGAACAGGCTGGGTGTTCTAGTTATAACTGGAGATGGTATCATGAGTTGAAACCCATCCCGTGTTTGGGATGCTGTAACAATGCACGGGCCACATAGGGTCTAGGGGAACCCACCCATTGTCATCCTTAATTCACTAACAACAGATGCTCTTAGAACATAAATATTAAACATAACCAATCAGTTTCAACTTGCAACATTACTGCAGAATGCTTTTATGCTATGCTTAACCTACAGCAGCATCACCAACTAGTACGACACCTTTTACCTGCTTGTCAGTTGATGCTAGCGCTGTATTTGCCTCGGTTCCTACTTGTTCTTCAGCACTATCAACTTTTAGAGAATCAATGGTTTCACTAATCTGTCCCTCTGGCTTAGACCTAGATTTCAATCTCTCTGCTGCTTCAGCCTTTCACAAGAAGCCAATCCAAAATTATAAGTAGAATATACAAAACCAGTTCAAATAATGTAAACAAAAGCATTTAGCCCAATTCACCTGGCAAAAGGCAGTGATTAATTCAGGCCTCAAAATACAAAATCTGGAGCCTGGTCCAGTATAATTTGCATCACGAGGAGTGACTCTCATCAGGTCCAAGAGATAATGCCTGAATTTCAGAATACATAATGAAGAGCATGTGAAGTGTCAAAGCATAGTATCATCAATTGTTGTACAGACGGGCAGAAACTGACGTCAGTGAATGAAGGTAAGAAGAGATTGAGATAGTAACTACCTGTCATCACTACCAACGATACCCTTGCATTCCACAGGTGCGGCCAATTTGAAAACATTTCCAGATCCATCAAGGACTGTATGTTCCTTCAAATGGAGGCGTTTGGCAGCCTCTATCACCTGAAGTACAGAAGGATCAGTACTCTAGACCGAACAGGTAAACAGAAGGAACTAATAATATCCATAAACTCATTAAAAAAAAAAAAAATAGAAGGCAACAAAAGAAAAATATAATCTTTTGAACCATATAGATTTCATAACCCAATCTCCACAAAATTGTTCACAAGGACTAATAACTCCTATGAAATTTTATTAGGACAATCAACTCCTACTTTGAATAATATTTCCAAGTAAGTTTCAAAATGATTCTTTTTCCAGTATTGCCCTTTCTTACTGAAATCCCTTTAATGACCTTTCCCTACTGAAATATTATTTATACCCTCCTATAATTTTGTAACTAATATCAATTTACAATAACCATGAAAGAAGACATGGTTTTAACTGCTACCAACCTTAGCAATTCTTAATTTCACTAATTAAGAGTGAAACTTATTGTAAGGTCCAACAAGAAATTTTGTAATCAACTAAATTGACAGCATGATAAAAATAAACGCATTCCATAATCGTCCACACCTTGGAATGAAAATCTTCATTGCAGCAAATTTTCTTGCCGTTGTCAACAGAACCATACAGAAGAGAGTCTGATTTATCACCTTGAAGGATGCCTGGTAAAACACTCTGCAGGAGGGGGGGAATGGTGATTTATATGGAAAAAATACCATACTTAAGGGGGGAAAAAAGGTCGATAAGCAAAAAAAATGCAGTGAGCATTAAGTAAACACAAGAATAGATGCATGTTAACTGGGAATAACAAGAAATATTCACAAGTTGACATTGCCAATAAATAACCATAAAACTACAATTAGCAAGATAATAAGGTAAACAATACAAATTTGTTAAACTATACGATAAATCAAACATTTAATCGAACAACTCTATCCACCAGTCTAATCCATGGAAATATAATAAATAATCAGTTTTCCAGTAAAAAAATCATGTAGGTCATCTTAAGTTCAGTACACACCTGTGCTACTACTCTATGACCCCTGTAATCAATAATGGCCATAGCAAGATTATACAGTGCGGGAACATCAGCCTCCTGGTATGCCTTGGTCCCTTTCAAATCATTATTTGCAGAAGCGTATGTGGCTTGCTCAGTCTCAGCCAACTGTGCCTCGGCAGGTATATCAGGAACCAAATCCACGACAAGATTTTCTGTATTTGAGCTATTAGATTTGTCCCCATTGGAAATTCTGGAACCATTATCAGATAAATTATGTAACGAGTTGGTACTTTCACTCTTTAAATTAATATTTGAAGCATGCTTCCTCGACAGCTGCTCAAGGTCCGCATCCACGGCAAAGCTGAAGAATATGTTATTGTGGACATACCTAGAATCAAGAACATAATATAATGTTATGTCTAACTTATGCTACACATGATAAACATCAAAGACAAAGAAATAATGCCAATAATAATAACAACATAAAATAAAATAAACTACCTATGTATGCAACAACAATCACATAAGGCTTCCGCAAGCACCGATATCTAAAAGATACTCTTGACTGTTTAGCTCATAAGGTTAAGAAATAAGAAGTATATGGTTCAAGTGACAGCACGTACAGGAGGCACTGGACACATCCAAGAACATATCATTCATTTTGATTTGATTCCAACTCAACTTTTCCAGTTTAAAACAAATATCTTTGTGCATAACAATGATAACAGCAATACTTCATGAAAAGGTAATGTTTGCACATTGTCTGCTTACAATAGGCTTAATTTCACCCTATTGAAGCTTGATGAGGTTTTCTTATTCATTAGGCAGCAATATAGAAGAACCCCAGACATCAGCATGTACCAAGGCCGGGGGAAATAAAAAGAAAAATTATTCTTCTTTAAGTATTTATGCCAAGTAGTTTAATATAAAAATAAATGGCCAGAGAAACAAATAGACATATATTATACAGTGATGCTAAAATTTCAATTCCTCACCTCACATAGACATTGACCTAAAGCAGACAAACTTGAAACCAGTTTAGAGGGGGAGATATGTATATATATATATGTATATGTATAAATAGAGAGAGAGAGAGTGCAAACTTTCCTTGGATCAAATTGTTTCAAATTTATCAGATCCCGAACACATTAAAAAAATATTGAAATTTATCATTTAATAAAGAGATTCAAAGAGACATCTAACAGACATAATGACTAGCTAATAAGATGGAAAAAAACAAAGATTTCAACATTGAACCTCAAAGTACAAATTAATGATGTCATTTTTATTCAGTAGAGCAACCATAAAGGGCAGTTAATACTAAATAAATCCTATTCTTTGACCACACACTTTAAAACAAGTTAAGCATTGGTGATATTAATAGGTTCACTAACATGTGAAAGCACTCTGGATCAGTTGGATTAATTGGCGGTATACATCTGCTGATGACTCCAATACCACCACTAATTGCTGCATCAACAAAGTCAGAAGTCACTTTGTAAAGCGCCCTATCCCGCAAAATCCTGCAATTAAATTCTTTATATAAGAGATGGAGAATGTGAAAACTGAATGGAGTTCATCAAATATTACGAACGTGACAAATGTAAAAGAGATAATCTAACAAGACATGAATGAAATTGGCAAACCAAAATCATAAATGTAGCGAGGAATACTAATAGATATCTCATTACACCTTTCCTGAGGAGTTATATGCGGAAACTCCCGACAGGACTGCAATTCTTCGTTCCAATCTCTCTGCATGCCAATTAGCTCACTGCCAAATGAAAGTGTCAGTGCATTCTCTGCCCTAGCTGCATCACGTTTGTGATCTGAAAAACGAAGGAACCAATAGACAGAAAAACACAGATATTAAGTATTTTATTGAGGAGATGATCAATACTAAATAAGTAAAGAAAAGAAAATTATAAAAAGTTAAAACATTCTGCCACTGAAATTTAAAACCATGAAGATGAATGTAAAAAGAATCTAAAATAAACTAATCCCAAAATTATTTTGATTTTGCTCTTCATGTGATTTACCAATAAGCAAATATTTTCGCAATACAATAACTGTACAACAGTGAAAACTCAAATATACATAATTAAATCAACAATAAGCAAATATTTCTATTCAAAAACAAGTCCCAGTTTCATTACATGCATTTTCAGTTTCTTTGCAAAACAAATGTAAAATTTGGGAACGTGCAATGTGGGGAAGGCAAAATATTGGAAATAATGTAAAAAATGGGTAAGGCAAACTCTCTCTCTCTCGGGAGTGCTTTTCTTTGTCAATGAAACCATGAAGTGAACAAGTAATCCTGAGGCAATCTGTAACCACGCAATCAAAAGCACTCCATCTAGAGCTCTGAGAGCTTAAGAAGAGACAAATTGACAAAGACTTTCTGCTCGGATGCAGATACATAGTTCAAAATAAGATTTTGACTCATTTGATACAAGAAGCAAAGATATCTTCCTCAAACTCATGTATCTACTTATCTCATCAATGTTAACACCATAAATACAACTCATTATAAATGGTAACGTTTAAGCCATTAGGAAAAATATGGAAACAAATTATGGAACAACCAGCCAAGACATATAACCTCCTTTTCGGCTTAAAGGGAATTTAATTCAGGGAAAAACGCAGCAAACAAATATTTGTTTTTTGGTCAGACGCGGTCATATAGTTCAAAATGAGGTTTGACCCATTTGATGCAACAAGCAAAGAAATTTTTGTTGTACCCACACATAGTTTAGCAGTACACTGGATAGAAAGCTACTCACCTCTTCAATATAAATACAGTTCATTGAGATGGAAATCTATGAGCCATCAAGAATTATAAGGTCGCAAATATTGGAAAAAAAGACCAAGACATAAAAATTGGGATGAGGCCACCAGAATGTAGCAATACCAAACAGTCAATCTGGGAAGAAAAAAGCAGTGGCTCTATTTAACTTGCATCTCTAAAGAGTTCAAGCATATGCTTTGGAAAAGCTCTTTAATGATTTAGGGTCTGTTTGGTTTAGATCTTGGAAAATAGTTTTCAATAACTCTGAAAACAAACAACAGTTCCACATAAGAAAGTTATTCAAAATTTGGGCCTTCCAATTTTCAGAAAACATTTTTGAGAAAACTGTCAACCAGATGAACTTATAGAATATTTTTTGTATTCCAATTCTCTGAGAACAGAAAGTTACTCTTATGAAAACTACAAGGGCCTTAGTTGCCACATTTTCCATAAAGTGAAGCCCAATGTCGTATCTATTGCATGAAAGTCACCAAAAAGAGAAGTGAAAACTCAACCCCGGTGGATGCTTTCTTGGTAGCCTATGCAATTTGGTAGCGACAGTACCATTAAAGATGATGTTGGGAACACAATCAATACATGTTCTAGCCTGAAGGGTATCAAGTTGCAATTTTTACCAAGATTGAATCACTCTAGATTTATCTAATTCCTTAGAGGCTATTTATTGGAATGCTAGAAAGGCTGGCTTCAGAGTAGATTCATTGCCAAGGCACAGGGGTTTCTTTAGCGGTTCCTATGAAGGGAATTTTTACCCTCCCCCACCCCCCTCACAAACAACCACACACACCAGGATCCACTTTTTCGTGTCATGCATGGGTTTGGGGGAGGGGAGTTTGGTTGGATTTCATCAATTCCTTAGAGGCTATTTGTGGCTAGAGTAATCCTACTATGAGGTCTCCCAAATGACACTTCTCATGAGCTCTCCTTTAAATTAGCATACTTTGGGCAAAGAAAATAATCCACAAATTATCTCTGTTTATTGTCAATGATAAATTTTGACATTTTTTTTTTTTTTTGACAAGTAATAATTCATAAAAGGCGCTCAAAAGGGGAAAGCTCCCAAAAGAAACACAAGCCACCTACGACGACACTATAACTTTAAGCTATCCACAAAATCCAAAAGACTATCCATAGATATAGAATTTCGCCCATTCACCCAAAAGAATAAAGAAGACAGCATATTGTATTTGAGAGACCAAATAGGAGACTCCTCCCCGTCAAACGATCTCCTATTTCTCTCACGTCAAAAGCCCCACCAACGACAAAGGGGAGTGGCCCTCCAAGCGTCTCAGACTAAGCTCTCCAATATACACTCCCATCCCTGCGTTCTAGATGTCATGCTGACACATTTCACTATTCTGCTACAATAACATTGCCACTAGTACTTTCTTTTATCTTGTATGATATTCCTTATGATTTGTATTTTTTCTTGTGATCAGCTTTTTCAGTAACCTTTGAAGGATTCCCCATCCTTCTTCATTGTTTATTTGTTCTTTCTTCTGATAATACACTTTGGTTTCTTATAACAAAAAATACACACATATATATGTATGTATGATTTTATTCAACTTCAAAAAAAAATGAAAGTCCGCAAATAGATAAAACAAAAAGTTCATCACAATACGAAGTGCGATAAAACTAGATTACCAGGAACAGGATACAATCCTAGCCATGAATTTGGTGGCAATAGAGATGGGGCATTCTCGAAAGGATGTGCAGAGGCCTTCCTTTCCAAGGTTTCACGAAAAGCTTCAAATAGAAAGACAAAATAGACAATAAGATGGTTAGACCACATTGAGCACAAAAGGACTAAGCCTACTCTAACTATGGTTAGTTACCTTTCTTGAACTTGGAGCTAATTTTTTGCAAGAGTCCAACAAGGGTTGTTGCTTCAAATGCACCTTTACTCGGTCTTGGATCAAGGCTATTCCCTGTGCTTGAGTTAGCATAAAACATTTTTGTGGTTCCCGTAATACAAAATTTATTTCCTTCCAATGTTATCACATCCAGATAAATCAAATCCCCAACAAGCCTGGAGGTGACCAAAAACAACATGCATTATGTTATTTGAAGTTCCCGATGCAAAACCATAATTTGTTTGAGAAGATAAGAGATTTTTATTAGGATGCCTACTAGAAAACAGAGGAAATACAAAGAGGGCAGACCACACAGAAAGGGATTAGAAATGCTTAAAGGATTAAATATTCACCTCCTATGGCTTGGAGGAGGATTAAATGAAGAGAACACAATACTTTCCACGCATTTGATCTCTTTAGAAGGCGATGACAACAAATTAGTAAGTGAACCAGTAACATCCTCCATGAAACCCAAACTATCGAGCTCTGAGACGTCAGTTTTTACTGTATCTAGACCATAGTAAAATCCAAAATCAAGATGGTAATGAGTTTGCCACGAAATGTATGTGTGTTAGATATGGTAAATAAGAAAATAACCAACCAAAAAAAAGGAAATAAAGCCAAAAAGGGACCCAGGTTGCAGGCTAAAATTCCCAAACCTCCTGAATTTGCCGAAGAACTTTGCCCTGTCTCGTGCTGTAACGCAAGTGATGTTGATAATGAGGCATGCAGTGTGGAAAGAGAGAGCAATTCTCTTGTGCGAAGAACATGGGCCCTGATGGATCTATCATCATATAATGCTGCAAAAATTAATAATATCGTTTTTAAGTAGGTCAATGCATTCATACATACAATCCCTCATTCCGATGTGTCCAAAAAAATGTAATACCCCCAATTCACTGTTCTGGATGCAAGAACCAAATTTAAGGGGTTGTAGCAGTTCCCATCCACATGTATCATAAACATAAGCAACCAAGGTAGTAACATACCAGCAACCATCTCCAAGGAGCAATCACCACTGGTTATGTCTGCAACTTCAGAAATTTCATTGTAATCTTCCAGATGATGAACCACACCATCCTTTGTGCTCAGTAATAAATCGTAGCACGTAAAGAAGCAGGTCTCCGGAGCATCAAGAAGAAACTGTCTCACATCCATAACAGAATCTCCAGGGCTTAACTGGAAAAACAAATCATTTCAACAATATGAGTGCCGGTAGAATTTGAAAGCATAGCCTAATTAAAGGTAAATAAGATGTCAATACTTCAATGATGCAAGGAAATGCTCCATGAGTTAAATAACTAATAAATCAAATTTAAAAATAGTTTCACTGTTACAACTAGGAAGATAAAGGATTAAGGGACCAAATAGTAGAAAAAAATGGATATAGCCTTTCATTTTTCAATCAATCCCATAAAAGCATGAATCATTAGAAACAGTCATTAATAGAGCTAGCTCACTTGTAGTTCAAGCTTCTCGCCACCTTGTGTCTTGACAGAAACAGGATACAAATGAATGTCCCCTGCAACACACAAAATTTTTCTAATTAGATACATACTGAAAAGCTAAAAATTCAACTCCCAAAAATTTGAACAATATTCTTCATATGGAATCATCCGCAGGTAATCAAATACTCTGTCCCATTTTAATTGTCCATTTTGGGTTTTACAACTTTTAAAGGGGATGTGCATTTAATGCATTGCCCCCTTCTAAAATTCCAAAGTTACCCTTTGAAGTTTAAATATATAGGGGGGTATCAAGTTCACAAATTTTTAAAAACTTAGAGGACATTATTGGAAAGATTCATTTAACGTAACTTTTTATATGGAACTGCCAAAAAAGGAAAGATGGACTATTAAACTAGGACGGAAGGAGTAACTTTTTGTTAGGTTGATTTGAGCTGACTTTATCTAAAACATAATATTTAAACAGAAAAATGTGAGATGGTATTAATTAGGAAAGGAAATAGAGTTTGAAAAACAACTGAATGAGACTTTTTGTGACAAATTCCAGGAAAATAAATAAATTACTAAATATAGGGACACAATCAATCTGTCTCTTCCATATATATATATATATATATATATATATATATATATATATATATATATATATATATATATATATATTATCGTGTACTTATCAAAAGAAAAAAGAAAAAATATCGTGAATGAATAGGCATAATGACTCCTGATGGTTGGATTCCCTTCAACAAGGGGTGAAAATTAGAAACAAACCGCTGAAATTACATGCAAGAACCTTATGTTTAGAGACAATGTCAAAAATAAATCCATTTCCTTCTAAGAATAGTTGAGTGATATTGCAAATATATAGTTGATTACTGGGTAAACCAGTGCTGGGTTATTAAAGGAAAGCAAGGGTGCAGTGAATACACGGGCACACCATAGAGTTACCCGCCTCAAGTAAGGCAACACTCATTTTAAGAGAAGATTATTAGGCACCTACACAATTTGTTTGAGGTGCAAGGCACAACTTCATATATCTACATCTGTATTTTAGTTTTCCAAATCATCCCTTGTCTGTTTTGAAATTTTTTCTTCTAATCAACATATTTACAGTAACAGAATTGCTCAATCACTTTTATTTATGTTTAAGGAGTATAATAATTTTTTACATGTCCTGTAAGTGTGTAACAAATAGTAACATTGATCTGATGCGTTCCCCTAACATAGCTAGCTTGCCTAATTATAAATTACTAAATCCTGGTTATTGTTTTTTCCATTGATGGCTCTTATATTACAACTTTCCCTTTTAACTGTATGCATACTTACATGGATCCATATATATGTGTCTGTAAAAACCTTCTGTTACACACACATGCACCAAGTTAAGAAAAAATGCATGCACGAGTACATCATCACATTCACAGAAGTGGATATACAATTACATATTCCACTTAGACATGTTCATCTTGGGCATTAAACACGGAATAAAGTATGAGAGTTTCTTAAAAATAATGATTAGGTAGAAAGATTCGTGATGAAGTTACTCGAAACAAATTAACTGAAACTACTAAAGCAACGCAAGTAAAGATGGAAAACAGATCATAAGTATATAAACATATATATGGATGACTCATTTCAAAGTTAAAACTTCTAATTCATTTTAACAAACTGTTGGTCTTCAATTTCTAAAAGCCAAGGAACTTTATATAAGAATTAGGATTCCAAACTAGACAATCCAATTACCTGGGTTAGGAATCAAAAAAAACTATTAATTCATTAGGTTTGATTCTTTCAGTTTTTTAATCTACTCAGAAATAAAAAGCAATAATAAATAATAATATGAAGATAAAAGGTAGTGTTATTATGTCAATAGAATGTTGAATTGTTACAATGATACGAGTAGAGGAATACCCAAAAAAAAAAAACTTCACCTTGCTTTGCCTGGTTGTCTGAATTTGCATTTGCAGACTCCTTTACATCTGACTTCGTACTAGATGATTCACACACAGCCGCAGTTGAATCACACACAGCCGCAGTTGAATCACACACAGCCGCAGTTGAATCACACACAGCCGCAGTTGATTCACACAGAGCCGCCCTTCCATTAGCATCAGGTTTGGGAGCCTCTGAAGAATTTAAGTTCTCTTTCAGGGGGGCATCAGATGATACTGCTTGCTCCACAGAATTTGTAGTATTAAATGCTCTCCGATTCCTCCCTTTATTCGATTTCCCCGCCATTTGTACCTCCTAATACTGAGGATACACTAAAAAAAATCATAAACAATACTAACTATTAACTGTCCAGTAAAAGGAGGGAAAGAGGAGAGGTCAAAAACAAAATATGGATAGTAAAGATCAATAAAGTGATTCCATTTTCTCCTTCAGATTGATGAAGATAAATCATGACCCAACATGGACAAGTTTAGAACTAAAAAGAGTTTTTTTTTTAAAATTAAAAAAAAAAAAAAAAAAAAAAAAAAAAAAAAAAAAACCCATCTTTTCAAGGTAGTATGCATACGCAAGAAACACCAATACCCATAAAGAAATGCAAAAGAACTCCACATGAAATCAAATAAAAAAACATCAAATCCCTTAAAACCTCCATAAACAATCACAGAAACAAATACCCAATAACATAGGAAGTACAGATCAACACATACAATGAAAGCAGCATAAAAGATTTGGTACCCAAAACAATGATTTTGAGCAACGAACCATCCATAAAGCCCACAAAAAAATTACAGAACATTGAAGACAAACAGTTAAATAAGCATACGACGAACACAAACACCAAAGAAAAAGACAGCAGTGGTATTACCAGGTAAGAGAAGGCTACAATCGCAGTTCAACTGTCTGATTAAATGCAAGAAGATAGTTAAAGTACATAAATATGTGTATACGGATATGGGTGAGATTTAGAGAGACAGAGGGTTGGAGGAGAAGGGGGTTGAGGTTTTGAAGGGAGGGGGAAGAGCAGAGAAGTGGCTGAGAGAGGGGGACGGCGGAAATTGGCCCTTTTATTATATATTACATTTGATTGCTCTTAGGAGAGAGAAACACTTCAATATCCCAACTGCTGGGCTTGGGCCTTTCTTAGGTTTGTGTTCTTCGTTTCGTTGCGCTACTTCTATTATTATTGGTCTTCCGAGTTTACAGTCTGACACTCCACTTGTGAAACGACAAATTTGCCCCTATATTCATGCCCCAAATCGGTTCTTAGTTTATCCATTTAAAAAAACAAAACAAAACAAAACATATTTTGTTGTGTTAAAATTTGAATCAACTTAGGGCTCATAAAATTGAGCATTAAGCACTCAAAATTTTAAGAGTTAAATTTGTATTGCTGAAGTTGTAGGTAATAATAAAAATTGAGATTCTTTATTTTTTTCTAGTGCTTAGTATATTTATTGATTAAGTGAAATTACGGTCGTTTAAATTTTATTTTATTTTTATTAGCTCTAAACTTGTTACTTTTTAAGTGATACATAAATTTTATTATCAAGTCTATTTAATTGAATAAAGTATTTGTTCTTTCTTTCTCTCTCTTTCAAAGTAAATAAAAAATATCATTTATTTCCCATTTCTATTTTTCTCTTATTCTTATTTCCTTCTTGTTCTCTTTTTATCTCACTTTGTAATTTACCAATAATATTTTTAGTTTGAACAAAAAAAAAAATTATATGTTCTTCCGAATGAGATTTATATATTCGTGAGATTTATATATTCGTGAAAAAAGAAATGAGATTTATGTATATGACTCTCTTACCAAGACAAATTTCTACCTCTATCGAGAGCAGGGAATTTGGCTATGAAAGGCATTTTCAGTGACAGGTGACACTAATAAGGTCCTAATTTATTTTATGTATATAATATTATAAAAAAAATACACATCAGGCTCACAAAATTATATCACTAGATATCAGTATTTAATAAGCTGGTAATACCATATCATCACTACAACCGGAACAATTAAATTTTTCTCCACACACACTTTACTCATATGGGGACTCCAACCCTCACCATCCACTTTGAATATACCCATTAAGCCACAAGGTCCTTGGATATGCATATCGAAATTCCCTAAATTTGCTAAGATGATGTATGAAAGGGTTATAGTTTAGTGTTATTTTTTCTATATTTCAAAATGAAACACGAAAATTCAAGTTTTCATAGAGACCTTGGTGTGTGTATCTCTTGTAAAAATTGGTCTTTAGTTTGGAGAGTTTTTATGTTATTGAAATGTTTAAAATATAGATCTCTCGTTATTTCAAGTTTCTTATGCAATTCATTCAAATTTAAATTAAAAAAAAAAAATGGTCATTGAGCTTAATGATAATTGTTTCCTTCTTCAATGAAAATATTAGGGTAGGGAAAAAATGTAAATATTATGGTGGAAATGGTAAATCTATTAACTGCTAGTCAATATAAAATGATATAAATGCATGTAATAACCTTTTTTTTCCTCAATCATATATTACCATTTATAATTAATTACCATGACTTTGGTATTATGTGCTAGTATAAAATTCATTGATTGTGTGTAAACAACGTATGTCATATACAAAACCTCTGGAGGAATACAACCAGATTTGAAATACAATAAGACTTTTTTCTTTATTTATTTTTTTTTTTTTTCTTTTGCGGTTTGGAAACACAATGTAAATCTACATTTTTTTCCGAATTTCTATGGAACTATTAAAAGTTTTGAAATTTGACACAGATAGAATTTTTTAAGGACCACAACTGTGGCATGAAGGGTTTTAGTGGTGGGTAGTTATTTTTAAGTTAAAATAAGGATAAATTGCACAAAACACTCTGTGGGTATGCAAATAGTGCATATAATCCTTGTCGTTTTTAAATCACCTCTATAGTGACAAATGTGATTAAATAAGCCCTTCTCGTTAAACTTCCGTTAACGAAGCAGGTAAATTACTATTTTACCCCAATATTATATAACAAAACTACATCTGTAGATGATATAATGTTTCCCCTCTTCTATGAGAAATCCACTGAAAAATTTCCTCATCGTGCTTATACCATGGAAGACACACATCAACCTCGTATTTTTTTGTTCATGGCAAAAAGAGAGAAATTTCATTTATGAAACCAAATCAATATTACAATCAAAATTGAACCTCCATCCTCATATTTGAAGGGAGATTCATAATATCCTCATCGACAAGATTGTGATAGAACACGTAAATGGCCAAGACATGGGCGGCAACGTCTGAATATAAAGTCATTCCTCATTTTCCAAACGAACTAAGCAAGAAAATTGTTACCTTGCTCACTACCTTTACTGCCCACATAGTCCAACACATTTCGCCTCCATTATTCAAAAGATATCACACCTAAAAAATCCTCACCCAAATAGCCTGGTGGGAGCTTCCATATTAATTTTGTACGCTCACATCTGAAGAGCATATGCACAACTATTTTGGCCTCCTCCCCACACAACTGACACCACTCCTCCACTTCAAGTCCATGGCTTTTGAGATTAGCTATTGTGATACCTCCCAATTTTCAAGCGTGGGTTGACCAAGTCCTCATCCAAAAATCGGGAATATCAAACAATTAATAATAATCGAACAAGGAATACAAATGGATAATTAAGAATAAATAAATAAATCACTAAAGGGCAAAATAAATAATACTATGTAATAAATAAATCCTAACCATAAATATTCCTCCAATAAATCCCATCAATTATAATAAACTTCCAATAATACAATTCAAGAATCCGTATATCAAGGACCCCTAAATAAAACCCATAATCTAAAATAAATAATAAGTATTGGTCTAAAGAGCAATAGTAAAAGATAATATCCTACGTTGAGATAACTGACTCTGATCAGCATGAACTCAACTCTAAGACTAAAATTGATCTGGACCTAAAAAAATATAATAATAGTGGATTAAACCCAAGAGCAAATCCTCCATATTACAACCCAATCAGAGAACTAATAGATAATGCATCCATAACCAAGACTCATGCAATAGCTACATAGTCATACATATATATACACGCTAATATACTCTCATTATGTATAGGACAGCCTCAAATTGATAAAGGGTATCACCTGAAAAATTGCAAACAAAGTGATCAAGAGTCCCCTATATTACTAGGGAAGACAAATCACTTATACAAGCTACTTGTCTCTGGCAATATACGTCTCAGTCCTATCCACTAATCCCGATGCCACGAATCAATTCGTATTAGGGCAAATATAAATATAGAATATCATCAACGAAGTCATATCTAACAATGACACCATGTGGTGAGTCTAAACTAATTAACCCGCTCATTAACTCATCTCATAGTCATATCCAACAATGGCAACATATCAAGCAGACTAAGCTTATTAGTCATCTCAATGATTTCATCTCATACATACACCAATATCAACAAAACCATTTCTAACAATGTTACAACAATTACATACAGTCATAGATCATATTTATAGATCACAAATATCATCAATATACATAATTATAATCATTAGGTCACCTATTGCAATTATTAATATAATTATAACATATACATGAATAAAATAAACAACTTATAAGTTGTTTAAAGTCCATTACCATCGCATATATTAGCATACTAATGTATATTATGCATTCCAAGTCCATTAATACATCTACCCCTCAATTTGAAACAATTAAAATAGTTAAAACAAGTTCAGGCAGTCAAATCACAATCCTACAGTTACAGCAAGAGTTGGTCAACCGGTAGTCACATTCGGCCGACTGAAATAGCCCCATTGGTTGACTGAACCTTGCTGTTGGTCAATCGAAACATGCGTCTTCCTCCTTCGGCAGCAGGTTTTAGCCCTGCAAATTCTAATGTTTTGGGTCCTAATTATTGCATCCTACGTTCCAATCATTCCTATAATAAATATAACACATCATTACATGCTTTAGAAGTAAAAAAACATAAGTTTAATTCATCAAGTTCAAAAATTGATCAATATATATACACACACACACACATGAATATATAGAGAAACCCAAACCCAAACAACATATACACTTGATTAAATTAACTGAATTATATCCTTAAAATCTCAACAAAAGGTATAGAGCATACAGATTCAAAGTGGAAGAGTATAATAAGAATTTGTCTTAGGATTTTCGGATCGAAAATCAACTCACAAGTTATCCGGTCTTCTTCTCCAACTTTGGCAGCCTTACGGTTGTCATCGTCCTTCCTTCTTCGTCTGGTTCTACGCGTACACAACTTCCTTCTCTCTCTTTTGTTCTCGATTCAGTTCTCTCTCTCTCGTGGCTTCTCATCCTCTCTCAAACCCGCACGGTTGTCTCTCTTTTTCTACCTGCCTTTCATGTACAAAAAAAACCCGTTTCTTCTAACTATTATATATATACATATAATACCCATATAACATAACCCAACCCTAATCCTAAACCTAGTCTGAGTAACTAAATAATATACATAAACAACTATATAAATATTATGTAAATAATATTACAATTGCGTTATTGATGCGACCCGAGCGTGTGCACAAAATAATGCACAACACTTTGGTTTTGGAAATGGTATCAAACGGACATCATAGTTTACATTTATAAACCGCTAGACACTTATATTTTGTAGTATGAAGTGAGAAGGGATCGAACCCAAGAGACCTTTGGCTTGAATTCAAATAAGACAGTTGGTTTTAACAAGTGATTACCATAAGAGAGATAAAGAGAGAATAAAATAGATGGTTGGTTGATTAAGCTAGTGAACAATTAAATTAAAATGTAATGAAAATAAACTAAGTTAGAGTTAGGGGTTTAAGAGATAGAAGAAAATTCTTAGGGTTTGTTGGAAGCACCACTAAGCTCATGCAATTAACCACTTGTTTTCCATTAATGGGGAGAACATTGTTGTAATTAAAATGTAGGTACAATCAATGGCACAATTTGCATATGTAAGCATGATCATCCAATTCATTTGTAATGCATTGCCCACCTAACCAACAAGTAAACTACGTGGAGGACAACACACCAATCTTGAGGCTTAACCTATCTCACCAATCCACAAATGCATCCAATGAGAGCACACATCAATGTGATAACACAAATTTCAATCAT